GCTCCGGCACGGACGGGAGGCCCGCCCCGGCCCTGCCCCTCCGCCCTCCCCACTGGCCGGGTCCGGCCCTCCGGGTAGCTGCGGGGGCCTCACAACAGAAACTTCCAGGCTCCTCTTTCGGGCCCTGGGTCCACTCACGGAGGCCAGCGGCTGCTGGGCAGCCCGGCTGACGGCAGAGCTGGGGCGGTAGCACCTGCCTCCTGGTTTGCGCCCCACTGGGCTGGCCGGGCCCCTCAGTCTCCGGCGCGCACCTTGGCTGACGTCCTCCCTTGGGGTCTCGCGCCCCGTGACCCCACCCAGCGCCTGGCACGGAGTGGACACGGCCGGCCGGTCCCCCCGCTGGGCTGCCGGCACAGCGGGAGGCAGCCCGCTAGCCCACACGCTCCTGTGGCACACGGGGGGTCGGGCTGGGCAGGGCGAGGCCCCCCGACGCCGCCCTCCGGCCTTCACTGCCCTGGGTCTGCATCTGCGGGGTCTCCTCACACCCTCCCGCCACCGTGGGCCCAGCCCGCACCTGCCGGGACAGCTGCAGCAGTGGGGCGCCGTCCCTGTCCTGCACCCTGGCCACCCGCATTTCCCTGGTGACCCGGGTGTGGGGCCGCTCCCTGGGGTGGAGGGGGCAACCCCCAGGGAGCGAGCCCCCTGCCCCGCCTGCCCGGTGGCTTTGTGCCCGCACAGAGGGCTCGGCACGGAGGGCGGCCTGACCTGGCCCGAGAGGCTGGACAAGGGCCTGGCCACCCCCAGCTGCCCCCAGAGTCCAGGCGTGGCCTCTCACTTTGCTGCCCATCAGTGCATCCCTTCTGCTGCACAAATTCACCTGCTGCCAGATGAGTGTGCTCTGCTGTTAGGTGAGTGCTGCCAGGTGTGCAGCCAGGTGTGCTGTGACAGGTGTGCTGTGACAGGTGTGCTGCCAGGTGTGCAGCCAGGTCTGCCAGGTGTGCAGGCAGGTGAATGCTGCCAGGTGTGCTGTTGACAGGCGTGCTACCAGGTGAGTGCTGCCAGGTGTGCTGTGACAGGTGTGCAGCCAGGTGTGCAGCCAGGTGAATGCTGCCAGGTGTGCTGTGACAGGTGTGCTGCCAGGTGTGCTGTGACAGGTGTGCAGCCAGGTGTGCAGCCAGGTGAATGCTGCCAGGTGTGCAGCCAGGTGTGCTGTGACAGGTGTGCAGCCAGGTGTGCTGTGACAGGTGTGCTGCCAGGTGTGCTGTGACAGGTGTGCTGCCAGGTGAATGCTGCCAGGTGTGCAGTCAGGTGTGCTGTGAC